AGGCCCTGAGGTGGGCGGGTGACAAGTTCACGTCTCAGCAAGGCGGCCATGCAGCTGCAGCCGAGCGGGCAGAGAGCGTCGGCGATGGGATCAGAGAGTGCGAACGAATGAGCTTTGCTAGGGCCCATCTTCAAAAACTTCCAGCAGCATCTTCGAGGGGAAAGACCAGGTAGGTGATACGATGACGTGACTGGGACAACGGTGGATAAGACAGGCTATAGACCTGATGGCAGGAACCAGCGCTGGGGTGCCAGGAGCGGGGAGACGGCCTAGCATCTGGGGTCTGAGACAGGTTGTGCCCCGAGGACGCGTGGAAGAGCAGGGACCTGAGTGGCCCCGAGCAGGCTCTCTGGACCCCACAGGAATGTCGACCCTTGAGTCGGGAGAGATGTTATGTGTCCTCCTGTTGCAGCCGGACGGACCCTTTAGGTAGGAGAGCGCCGTGGCTCTAACACGGTCTTAGGACCTAAGACCGAGTCTTCACCTAACACGGCCCCTGCTCAGGGCTAAGGAAGAAAGCTAGGACGACGTCTCCTCCACTCGGTTCTATTCTTGCGTCTGCATCAGCGGCCGAGGGTCTAACCACCCTGTTAGGAGGTGAGAATGTGGCGCTGGGGACACACTGTGCCTCGTGGAGGCTGAGAAAGGGGGCGCTTCCTCAGGGGTCTGCCTTTGCACCCCGTTCTCATACCACCTCCTGCTCCAGCTTCACCCCCAGACTTCATTCGGCAACGCTGCTTGAGTGTCTGAGCGTCATTTACTTTGGGATCCAAACCAATGGCTCTCCCTGAGCCTCCTGCCCCTTGACGGCACTGAGATGAAGAAATCACCACAGAGCCGCCTCGGACTTCAACCCCACGCTGCGCGGGGCCCATGGCCACTCGCATGGCTCAGGACGCGGGGGACAGGCCAGGGACAGGCGCCCTTTCCTTCCTGCCCCGCAGTGTTCCTAGTCCCTCCATGAGCGGCGAGGACACTGCTCCATACGTGTGTGCTCTTGCAGAGGAGTGTTCTGGGCCCGTGGGAGCTTTTGTTTTTGTTTTTGACCAGTGTGGGGAGTTGGCCCGGGACACGCCGGCCAGTGGGACATGGTTACCTTTGGAGGTGGCGTCCCAGGCACTCTGAGTCACTCTCTCACCACACAAGTGGAGCCATCCTGGAATAAATAATTTTAAAAACACAAAACAAACAAACCTACCCTGTTTCCTGGCAGCTCCGAAGCTCCTACAAGGCGAGATGTCGCAATACCAAGGGGGCAAGTTGGAGAGTGAGTGCCGGGCTGTGGGGAACTTGGACGTGCCCTCCGTGTGCCAGGCTGCAGCCCCGGGCTCTGTCCGCCTCTGCAGGGAAGGGGCTAGCAGAGCAGCGAGTGGGGCCAGACCCCAGAAAATGCCAGAGACAGTGGCTGCCCAGGGCAGGCTGCGGGAAGGGGGCCCTGGGAGCCCTGTCAGCTCCGGTCAGGTTCTAGTGGGAACGCTGTGTGCTGACCAGCAGCGCGAGCCCTCTGCCGAAACCCCAGCTGTGCTGGGAACTGACCTCATTCATGAAGTAAACACTGAATCAGATACCAGCGGGCCTAGCCCTGGTGGAGTGGAAATAACAGGGACGTTTCCATCATTACGAAGCTGCCAATTGGACTTGGCCGGAGGAACGCTGAATATGTCCATCGGGGTGAGTTCATTACCTTTTCCTGCCAACTCCATCAGGAGCCAATGGCCTTGTTGCGGTTGAAATTATTTGTATGAAAATGCTTTACTTACATTTCAGCTTTTATACCCCAGATAATGTACTGGAAAGCAGCGTAGTCTAGCAACTGGAAGACAATATTGGGAGCCCGGCGGTTGGCACGCAGTCCTGGCCGTGCCTGGAGCGCTCCGCGGGCCAGCGGTTACCGCACTTGGCCCTGGGATCCTGTTGCTGGAAGACGGGTTGGAGAGCAGGGTCTGTCCCATGATCCGGGCTCGGGCGCAATCCCGGGTCCCGGTGTTTGTGTTCTACGTCGCAGGCGCCTCTCTCACGTTGGCTTACACCCGCCCCCGCCCCCCTCCACCCCGCTTAGCTCAGAGGCCGCGCACCCGGGCGACAGGTGGGTCCTGTCTGTCCTTGGCTCCCATTCCCCCCTCGCTCCTCCTTCCTTCTCACTTGGGAGATGGAGGGGTCGCTGTGTTACTCTTCTGCGTGCAATGCGGTTCCACCTTCTGGGAGAAGCAATTTGCAAAAGCAGTTCCTCCCTTATCCTCACGGACGTGGAAGGCAGCAGAGCTGAAGTGTGGAGCCAGGGGCCCCGGTTCCCTCCCCAGCTCTGCCCCTGACAAGACGGGCGACCAGGGGGCAGGTCACTGTGCCTCCATCTCGGCACCTGGGAAACACAGGTGGACACAGCACCTGCTGGACAGGGGCGCTGGCCGGGAGGCGTCCGGGCTTCATTCCTGCGAAGCACTCAGCAGAGCCTGCCGCGTGGAAGAGCTGAGCGTTAGCCTCTGTGGTCACTGTCACGGCCATTACTAGCCTGAAGGAGTAAGAACAGACAATCCGAATGGACATGATCCAGTGATACCTTTACGAGGTGTGAACCCACAGCGGCATCCCAGGCAGGGCGACAAAAAGCCAGGCGACTCCAGCTGGGACCGATTCACTGCGTCGCTTAAATCGCTTACCAATTTCATTTTTAGTTTCTTTCTGTCACCCCGGGCTTATGCTCGCTGTCCCTTCCTTAGAATCGTCTTGTCCGACTGTTGAGAGTAAAGTAAGGCCAAGAAAGGCGCCGTCATGCGTCACCGTTTCACCCGCAGACGAGTCCGTGGGTGCTTCTGCCCTGCGCTATACGTGGAGCTGAGTCACCGGGGTGCCCGTCCCAGGCCCCGGGGCTGCTCCTCCGGCTGATGACGAGAGCAGCTGGCATCTGTGTCTCACAGAGACCTCCTTTCCCCCGTAACCTAAGCCATTTGCCCAGCTTCCTTTCAACACGGCCAAGGCT